TACAGCTTTCAAATTGCTGAACATTCTGTATGTCTAATTTTCGATGATGTGAATAAGTTCGACTTTTTTTTTGGTACACGATAATTTTATTTGATTAAATAGTCGATTTTAGACCAATTGATATGTGTTTTTTGGTTATGCTAAAAATAGGCTTTTTGTATTGAAATTTAATCAAACATCACATGAGAATTATATTGAAAATGTTGTTCTATTTGCAAAAAACTTAAGGTCAATATGTACTAGGTGATGATATCATCTATCAACAGGACAATGCCATGATGCCTACACATTAGCAATCATTTGCGTGTTATGAAAAGAATTTCATAAACGATGATAGATTTCTATATCAATTCTCTAGATTATTCTATATGAGATGCTATCGTCAATAATAGTTATGTTAGAGAATAAAGTCAAAAATTTATAATTCATTAATTGATGAAATAAGAAAAACAATTCTGTTTACAGTATCAAAAACTGATCGTCGATTCTGAAAACTAAGAATACATTTATAAAATAAACATTGTATTGTAGAACTTTTCATGTTACCATCTTATGATTTATTTTGTTTTTCTATGAAACATACACAATGCAACCATTTATTATTGGCCATTCGTCATTTTTCTTCATGAGATTGATTGACTCGAAAATCATATATCTAAAACTGATCTATTTTCTTTTCCTTATGCTATTATAATTTAGCTGAGCAATGCTTTAAATTAATAATCAGACGAAAATTTATTTTTAATAACGTGTAAACATCTGTTAACAAGATCACGATGACATTAAAAAAAAGTATGAGAATAGAACTGACCTCGATTTACTGTTTCTTCGCCAGCAAATGAGCACTATTGAATATAACAGGACAAAAAAAAAACAATTATCTATAATGAAATTCTTTGTAGATAATATATTAGTATTATTTCTATTTACATGAAGATAAAAGATTCATCTCGATTGAAAGATATTTCGCTTAAATATCGATATGATTCACAATAGATCATCGTCATTAAATTGAATTGATCGATGACAAGTAGAACCATATCGAACTTTCTTTCGGATTAGAAAAACGATAGATTAGATTAGATTTAATTTATACAAAAGCAAAAAAATACATATGAAAATATGTTAACTATCTCTCTCTTTAAAATCTAACTACAAAAAAATACAAAAAAAAAAAAATCTATAGAAAACATTATGCTTACAGGTGATTTTGTTGTTGACGTTGGCTTTGCAATTGTTACATCGCCCGAACTACAAAAAAAAAAAAACAAGTGTGTTTAAATTAAATACACACACACACACAAAAAGAAGCTTTTCATTTACTGTTTGTCAGACATTGTAATATGAAGATGATTGTAAAGTAATTTCTAGAATTTAATAGAGATTAGAAGAATTGTAGTACAAACTTATGAATTATAGAAATATGTTAGAATGATCAAAAATGACCTTCTCTCAATGTCGGCTGTCTCGGAACAGCGATGATATTAATTACATTGTTGCTGTATGTTTATAAGTACAGAATCGCATGTGATCTATGAGATAAGCTTAAGTGATTGGCTACTCAAGTACTGCGATAGGATCAATTGACTTATTTTTTTTCGCTTAACGAATGAACGACCAAATGTTTTTTTTTTCTTTACAGTCACATAGAAAAGTAATTTTTAATAACTATGATAGATAAGAGATTTTATCAGCTATTTCTTTATATGAATATTATAATCTAAAAATATCATGTCGGTTATTTCCTCTTATAATTATAAATGAAGATTATTGTAGAAATAACTCATGTTAAATAGTTACGGATTTTTTCTTGGAGAGATAATTGTTCGAATGAAATACTTAGTTAAAAAACTAACCTTGAACGTCGATGATCAATTGAAACCTATTAGACAATTTTTTGTCATTCTGAAAAGTTTCTTTCTAAACTTAATAGCAAATAATGTTGACATTTTTTGCCAATCTGGTATCTAATGAAGACTTCCACGATATACTCATATAGACTATTTAGACGGCCGCTTTTTTAAATTGATTTAGCGAGCAAATATCCGAAACTAATGGAAAACGAACAAGAGATAAGCAATAAAATATCTAAACTAATGTATCAAATCAGTTTTTGAGCCAGAACTATATGCATCGTATAGATCCTAATGAGGTATCAACTTATCACTGTCGAAATATTGCGACTTTTTATTACAATATTGTGGTTTTGAGGTAAGAGAAGCTAAAGATTCGGCAGAAAGTTTTTTCATCCTCGGAGTAGGGAAAAACGCAATTACGATAATCCATTCACGTTACGGTCCGCCTATATGCTAAATTTAGTTTTCTTGAGAGTGAGTCATTGCATTCCATTCAAAAATATCTTAGGAATGCAATAATTTCTTTTTTCAAGATATTCAAACTTAATTTTACTAGATAAACTCTGATTAGTAAAAACAATAGATTATAAATTCTAATAGAATGTTTTCGCAAAACAGAACTCAACAAATAAATATAATCAATTTATCTAAAATAATAGATAAATTCCTTAGATCATTTTCACTATGGTTATTTTTTCTCTATTATTGATAATCGAAAGCAAAACAAACAAAAGCTAGTGCAGATTAACCCATAGTTAATGAAATGAGAACAAAAATTATTATTCAGTTTCTTTTCTTCAATTTTCTATTGGTTGAAATCAACCATTATTAATCATTTTGTCACAATCTATTCATTATGCTAAACTTTAAAAATTTTATTCTTTTTATTTTTACAAAAATATTTTATTTTTTTATAAATAAAAAAAAAAAAACTTATATAATTTCAAAACTAAATTATTTTAACTTGTGGCTCCCTCTTGCAAACGGAAAGACGATGATTGATTATTTCTCATTATTAAAAAATCCATTCCTTGATATTCCATCAAAAAAGCAAAAATGTTCGTTCCACCATGTGCATGTAAAGGTATTCGTTCATGTAAACTTTGTGAAACAACAAAAGATCATTTAATAAATGAATCTACAACAACAACAATATCAAATATAATTTATATTTATTGTGATACATGTCGTCAAGCAATACGTATGGATATATATGAATTAAATTCTCAATGTCCACATAATAATAATAATATTGATAATAATGATATAAGTTTTCCATTAGATGGTATTTATATTGTTTCGGATTTTCTTAATGAAAATGAAGAAAATAATCTATTAAATAATATTGATAATGATATATGGATACCATCACAATCAGGTCGTTTAAAACAAGATTTTGGTATAAAAATAAATTTTAAAAAACAAACAATTAAAACAAAATATTTTACTGGTATGCCAATGCATTCAAAATATATTATTGAACGTTTACAAACATATAGATTAATAAAAGATTTTCAATCTGTTGAATTATGTAATTTAGATTATAAT